AGGGGGGGGGGTGAGTGTAATCCTCCTTAAAATAACAGACTTGTCCTAAATATGATAATATAACAAATTTAAATCTGACTTCCGTAATATATTAGGTAATACAATTACAATTATTACAAATGCAATTAGTACTTGTTCAACTTTAAAATGGTCAAATAACATAATGGAAATATTTGATATCTGTAAATGAATACAAAAGTAATTAGGAACCTGATAATACATACATATGGCAGTGACCAAAAACATATACATTTGTACTTAAAGATAGATTAAAAGATATCAGACTGGTTTTTTTTTTGGTTTTTTTCTGGTTTCATTTAATGTCAGTTCACTTATATAATAGAGATAGGTAGGCGCTGTTAATTGTTTAATTATTTTCATTACATTTAATATTTTTTAATGTTATTCTAATTCAATTTGCTATCCATGTACATGTATATGTAGCTTTTGCAGCTCTTTAAGAGCTATTCCTGTCTTCCTGCTTAATAAATACACTTCATTTAGAACTATGAAACAAGTTTAATTATAAACATTGTGAATATTCATACAGGGCTAGAACCTGTTGTCATGTCCTCGGTGAAATGTTCTGTGTTTCCCAGTATGATGGTATTAGATGCTGTATTACTCCAGTAGACAAAAGGTTGTTTTGGGCTGGAACTAGTCGGATGTTTTCCATTGGACCGATCGGCGAATTGAAAACATTGGCTTCGAACAATTTCCTGCCATTCAATGCTACAGTAGCTTGAAGTAATTCCGTTCATTCATACATAGTAATGATGAGCAATGATTTCTTGAAATATGAAATGCATTCTTAGAATTATTTCATGTATGTAATAAAAAATAAAAACATGTGTTCCCTGTACGTCTCAGAATTCACTGGTATATTGCCAGTATTGTTATATTATTTATAAATGTTAGACGTCAGATGACGTCGCAGTGTCGGCGGCCCTGGGCCGATACAATGACGGTGACGGGCGTTTTCCCCCCGTTACATATCAGACCACATTCGGTCAATGCGCCCCACCTATGCGCCCCTTCTGTGTACCTCGTGTTTATTTTTGTTTACTTTCCATTCGTTCGTCGTGTTCATGCAATGACTTGATTTGTGTGTGTCGAAGATTTTGGTTTTAGTTTTAGTACCAGAAATACTGGAAATATTCTAACACGTTTCTAACATAATAGTCTAAGATGACTCTAATGTAAGTTACTTACACAGTTTATCTGATTTTGAAATTTGATTCCTACAAAGTTTATCTTTAAAATTTCTATACTTTGTTTGTATCGTATATACGAGTGGCCTTGTAGAATTCATCAATAGTCCTTTTTACACAGGCGTCAATTTGTATGTTTTATGATCAAGTACATATGTATATGTCTATGCATATTGATTAGTTACTATGCAGAGTACAACTACTACAATGTATTGAAGAATCAACAAGAATGTCTGACTTGTACTGTGTGCTTTTCAATTAACATTAGTAAGACACATCCCATTGTAACAAATTGAATCAGTCCAATATTCTTATCAATTTAATGTTTTTTCCTGTCACCTCTCATCTCCATATATATATATATATATAATAAAAAGTGATTAAATGTCCATGTGAAGGAAGTAAATATAGAAAAAATAAAATTAACGACCGACTAAAAAACTAGCTGAAGAGCCCTGTGAAGGGTGAAAGCAGCTAGTTTTTTAGTCGGTCGTTAATTTTATTTTTTCTATATATATATATATATATATATGTGCGTGTGTGTGTGTATCGGACCACATTCGGACCCTGCGCCCTTTCAGTGTGTACCTCGTATTAGTGTTTTATTTTGTTTTTTCTTTCTGTACATATGAAATGTACACGCCTCCATTCGGTGGTTTTTTTATCAGTATTGAGTTGTGTTTATAGAAAATTTAGATTTTTGCTGCAGTAGCTTAGAAGGGTTCAACTTATACCTATTTGTACCTATTCTGATTGGTTTCTAATTAAATAGTCTTAAGGTGAATTTAAAGTCCATAATATAATGGAAACCTGTATTTTGTTTTATCCCATAGCAACCTACGGACTTGTACATTCCTTACACAACCTAAATCTGATTTTGAAATTTGATTACCACACACCGTATCTCTATATATACAGGTCTACGATGAAATTAAAATGTTCAACTTGCTTGTGGTTCCTTTTCCCCCTCCTCCATCATAAGTAAATTGATTCCTCTAGAGTTTCATGACGGTATTAATAGTGACTTGAACTTCGAGCTATTTTTCGTTTTTCCTGTAAGTATCCCTTATCAAGAATATATTTTTCTTACTTGAAACCTAAACAACAATTAACGAATGTTACAGGCGTCAGTTTCGTATGTATTATTATCAAGTAAATGTGTATATATCTTTGCATATCGCTTACTGTGTATGAAAAGTACAATTATTGATGTGTCTATAATAATATGTGACTTGTACACGTACTATGTATTTTTCAGTTTGCATTGGTTTCATACTTATGGTAACAAATTGAATTAGCCCGACTGTGTTAACTTTTTAATCGTTTTTTTTCTGTCCCTCTCACCTACTTACCACATTTGGACCCTGCGCCCTTTCAGTGTTCCTCATGTTTGTGTTTCGTTTTGTTTCCTCAAATAATTGTCTAAAGATGACTATAATATCCAAAAACATATTGGAAACCTGTATCTTGTTATATCCCCACCCATCTTTGTAAATTCTCTGCACAAACCTTAATCTGATTTTGAAATTTGATTACCACATACTGTACCTCTTTATACAGTTCCACGATGAAACTGAAAGTTTTCAACATGTTTGTAGCTTTTCCCTCCTCCTTCATAAGTGCCCCTTACATAAACCTCTTTTTTATACTTAAGTTTATGCCCATATAGTCTCATAATGGTATTAGAAGTATTTAAACTAAAATGTATATAGTCGGTGAGCTATTTTTCATCTTCATGTAAGTTTCCATAACTAAGTTCCCTCAAAGACTATTAAATTGTCTTGCGAACCGGGTTATTTTGATGAATTATTTTAATGCCATTCTAACATACATCACTTCGTACTTTTTTATGATCACGTACATGTATAGTACTACATTTGTATATATATGTAAATCTACACATATTGTTTACGGGTTAAAAATAGTCTTACTATTGACGAAGGAATCAATAGAAATGTGTTACTTGTACTGTGTACATTTTTCCCCCATTGTTTTGTAATCAATTTTTTGTCACCACTCACCTACAATTATATATATATATGTATATATATATATTGCATTCCATTGTTCATACATATAGTTATAATTTAAACTTATTAGATATATGATGTCTTATGATGGTATCAATAGTCTTCATCACGTTAATCTCCTTTATCACCTTAACTTTTTTCTTTTCCTGCACGACCATCCTTACCCTACCCAGTTACCTCCACTTCATCACTATCCACATGAGTACACACACTGTATTGTACGATCGTCTCATCCAACACGTCTATCTCAATAGCGAATCCGTTGTTTTATACCCTATCTGGGTACGATGTTTTATGTTTCTCCAATGGTTATCCTCCGTGAGGATAAATTCCAATCTGTCCTAGTTTATATTGTGTCCGGATAGGCCTACAACCGTTTGCATTCTTTGTCATGTACCTACATATACATGTCCGGAGCTGTACTTGTCGACACTTTATTAGTTTTGTTGATATTACATATATTACTTCTATTGTTAAATGTATTTTTAACTCCGCTCAAATTGCTAATACAATTCATAACGTACCTTAGGAGGTGAGTAATTTTGTCCCAATCTCCGTCACTTTTTGTATTACTTTAATAATTATTCCACTTTTGCTCCTCATGTCAGGATATATTGAATGCAACCCTGGACCTAGTAAGTCTGACGATTTCCACGTGTTCTTTTAATTTTTCTACTTTATTTGATTTGTCAAGTATACCTTTGTTCATCTCAATGTACAAAGTATGAAATGAAAAATTGATACTTATTAAGTGAACTAAATAATATAAAAATTCTGTCATTCACCGAAACGTGGCTAAGTCCTGGTGATATAAATTCGGATATAGTCTTTCCTGGTTTTACTTCACCTTACTGTTATTGTAGACCAATTAGGCAGGGAGGAGGAGTGTCTGTAAACGTCGATGATACATAGAATTACCCTCAGTCGAGTGTGTATGGTTGCAATTAAATATTCAGAAGATCGATTTTATATGGAACATTGTTTAGGCCCTCCTGACAAACTAATTTCATTTTGGGATAATATTGCTTTTACTTTTGAACTTGCTTTTAACACGGGAATACCACTATAATCATAACTGACGACTTGAATGCAAATCTCCTTAATAACAATAATCACTCTCAACACCTTCGTAATAGACTAACTACCTTTAATCTTACCCAAAGCGTCGCCAGTCGTACTTTCTTCACTGAGTCTTCTTCCTCTCTCTTAGCTATAGTGTGTGCAAGTGACCCTTCTCTAATTAACCTTTGTTGTGTCGGCGAAAGTTTTCTTGACCAGCATATGATATACCATTGTCCTGTGTATGGCAGTATTAACATTTCCAAATCTCCTAAATCTTGTTGACCTTGGTTATTAGGACGCATACAGAGACAAACTTTCTAAAATTGACTGGGACAGTGTTCTAGTTGGTAATGATGTCGACGACAAAACAGACATATTTACAGATGTTTTACTCAACATCGCAAGCGAGTGTATACCTAATAAAAATATAACTGTAAAAATCAATGATCCTGCATGGATGATTAATACCATTAGGAAGTTGATAAGAAAAAGGAAATATCTACATCGCAAAGCTAAGAAATCTCAGAATGGTGATGACTAGTTA